GGGGGGGGGGGGGGGGGAAAAGAGAGAAAATCAAGAAGAAAAACATCCACACCGATACCACCACCACCACCAGCAGCGGCACACGAAAAGAAAAGAAAAGAAAATGGAGAAGGAGTAGGAATACTACTATATATATATATATAAATAAATTCATACATATTTACTTATTGGCGCACTTTGTATACATATGAATATATAAAACACACACACACACACACACACTTGAGTTATCCACAAGACGCAAAAACCAAAAATCAAAAACCAAAAAACAAAAAAGAAGAAAAAAAAAAAAAGAAAAAAAAAAGCAATTTCACTCACTCACTCACTCACACGTCAGTTTGCGCGCCCACACAACTGCGGCAAGCACAGCCTCCGTTTCTCCCCCACCCCACCCACCAACCCCACGGCAAATTCGACATGACACAAACACAAAACACACAGACACACAGACAGACAGACAGACAGACAGACAGACAGAAAGAAAGAAAGAAAGAAAGAAAGAAAGAGACTCATTTCCCGAGGGAATGGAGACGGAAGTTAAACACACAAATGAGAAATCGAAGAAAAGAACTCCTTTTATTATTTTTTTTTTTATTTTATTTTTTTTTTTTATTTTTTTTTTAAAAAGTGGCAGAAGAAAAAAGAAAAAAGAAAAAAAAAACCACCGCACATAATCCCCCCGCCTCCATCCGCTCTCTATTTCTCTCTATTTCCTTCCAATACACACACATACGTGTATGCGTGTATGCGTGTGTGTGCGTGTGCGTGTTTTGCCGTATTTCCAAATCCCACTTCTTTTGATTTCATTGTAAATTCCACTAATAAAGAAAATAAATAATGATGAAAATAGCAACAACAACAACAACAACAGAAAGAAGAAGAAAAAAAAAAAAAACTTTTAGTTTTCCCATTTGATACAATAATGAGTGGCAAAAGAAAAAAAAAAAAAAAGACTCTTGACGATGTAACGCGCATCCAAATAGGTCTGGTGGTATAAATAGATAGATAAATAGACAAATAGGTGCGCATACATGCACTATATGTATATATATATGCAGACACCTGCCAATCGCCTGTACTTTTTTTTTTTTTTCCTTTTCTCTTATCTTCTTCTTTTCTTCGGTCTGTCTTATCGGCGGCCTTCTTGCCTTTGAAAGGCAAGAAGCAAAAGGGGATTATATTATATTATATATAATCCTTTGGTTTTGTTTCACACATGATCCTGCCTCGGCTGGATAATTTACACCATTTCATTTAATTCAGACTCTCATTCCCCCCTTTTTCCTTTTTTTTTTTTTTTTTTCTTTCGCTTTGCTTCCCTCCAGTCCTCTCCTTTCATCTCCCACACTCTACATCACGGAGTAACCAGCGTTTCTCCTCCCGTGTAATGCCTCTTCCCTTTTGTCTTCCTTTTTTCATATCTATATAGATATAGATATTACGCTCACTCTCTTACCCCGGCCAAATCCGGCGCGAAGTTACGCTCACAGCAACGCCATAATATAATAATAAATAATAATAAACAATCCTCTTTTCATTCATTCCCCCGTTTTCGGTAATGTCCTTTTGCCTGGCCAATTTGGTGCTACATGGCCTGCTGCAATTCTGCGACAATTGCCGCCGCCTCCTCATCGCCAGGACTTTCCCGTAATGCGGCCTCCGCGACAAGTAGCGCCTCGCTCATTTTGCCGCCATCCGCAAGAATAGCGGCCTTTGCCTTAAGAAGTGTTGCGACAGTTTGGCCTGCAACGCCTCCCGCCGCATCGGCCTCCTCTGGCGGGGGATTTTTTATAAGCGGATCGAGAAACTGAAGCGCCGCGACGTCGCCCTCCGTCTCACTCAGCAGAAAGGCCTTCTCCCGAAGCAACGTGGGACGAGGGTGAAGTGCAATCGCGCAGTCTAGCAGCTGTAGAAGCTCCTTCCGCAGCGTCTTCAACCGTGATTCGTCCGAAGTGTCATTGATGAAGAGTTTCAGTACCCCCATTTGACGTTCCAGAGCTGCGATGCAATTAGAGTTGAACTTTACGGCATTCGCGTACGCTTCACACGCCTCCTCCAAACGGCCAAGAGTCTGTAACCCATCACCCAAGATGAGATAGGCAGTATGGGCACGATCCCAGCCAACTTGACATGCCGTCTTCGCCAAGTCCACAGCCTTCTCCATCGTACCCGAATCCGCTGCTGTTTTTAACATCAGCTCCGCCTTGTATGCATGTATTCGAGAAAGTGTAGGTGTCATCCCAGAAAAATCAGGTGCTGTAGTTTGTTGTAAGAGAAATGCCGTCACTTCATCCAAGGCCGCTCTGGGGCCCTTTGAACACTCCAGAGCTTTGATCTCCATCAACTTCGCCAGCCCTGGCTGTTGAATGAGTGCGTACTTCGCCGCCGCCGCCGTAAACTGCTCCCCTGCGTCCTCGTACTCTTCCATCTGAACAAGAATCTCCCCCGTGGCATCCATGCACGGACCGACCTGAAACGGTGGGGCCGTTTCCCCCTTAAACAAAAAGAGCCGCATCGCACCTAAAAGGTAGTCCCTATCCCAGAGGTCAAATCCCTCACCGATTGCAGTTTTGGCGAAGCGTTGCACCGTTGACTCGGTGCGTCGACGCCCCTGTTTGACGACACTCCTGTCGCTTTCCTTGCACTCTGCCAGTGCCATATGTCGCAGTCAAAACTTAAAAAGGAAAAAAAGAAATAAATTGGCTTCCCTCTTTCCCGCTCCTTCCTTCAATAACTCCCTCCCCCACACACCCCCAAAAAGAAAAAAAAAAAGAAAAATCCGTCTCTTTTCTTTTACCTGACAGAAATGTGTGCGTGCGTGTGTGTGTGTGTGATTCCTCTTTTTTGTTGTTGTTGTTTGTTTTTACTTTTCTTCCCTCCTTTTTTTTTTTTGTTTTTCCTTTTATTTTCTCTTTTCGTCCTCAATAGATATCCCTCTTGCGTCACAGGGAGGGGAGTGGAAAGAAAGAAGAAGAAAAAAAAAAAAAAAAGAGAAAAGAGAAGTCCCCCAAACAATAAAAATAACTAAAAGAAGTGGGATCGCCAAACACGCGACGATTGTAAAGGCAAGAAATTCCCTCCTCCTCCTATCGAGAGGGATATGTTGAAACAAAAAACGTGAGCATGTCAACAAGTACAGTGCCGTAACACACACACACACACACACACATATATAAGAGAAAAATATTTATATACGTTGACGACGGCCGCACGTGGTTTTCGGTTATTACTATTTTTTTTTTTTTTTTTACTTTTCCCTTCCCACTCGATGGTAAACGCAGCCATAGCCCGCTGGTGCGTAAAGATAAATTTATACATATGTGGATATTGGAGATATATATATGATGTACCATCGCTTTCACGCCCGCTTGTCTTCTTCCCTTGACGCAGCGACGTTACCGCCATTCCGCATAATTCTCACCAATTTTTTTTTTCCTTTTTTTTTTTCCAATTCTCAACGCCCATGCGACGCCCTTTTTTCCTCTTTCTGTTGCGGCCTCATGGGATAAAACCGGAGAAGACGCCTGTAAAAAAAGATTGATCCAAGCACAAAAGCGATTGAAAATAAAAGTAGTAATGACACCAGCCACCAATTCAGTTTGCCCCTCGAGTCCTTCGTCACATCGTCAGGGATTTCCTCAGCGACGAGAGTTGCGTGCGGAACGGCGGCAAAACGGGCCCGCCACACTGTCTCTTCAAAAGGCCTCTTCGGCAGCTCATGACTGTGCTGCGCCAGCGCCGCATGCAAATCAACCCCGGTGCCAAACGTAAAGTTAATATACGGCGCTCTCACCGTCACAAGGCCAGCCGCACTAACAGCTGGCGGTAGTAATGTCGACAAGAGGGATGTCTGGGTGTCATTATTACGTAGCATTTTGGCGTACCGCAGGAGAAGCTCTGGAGACGGCGTGAGAGTCCCCATCTCTTCTGCTGAGCCATCCAACACTCGCGCGTCCGTAAGCAATGACATCGACAAAGTGTAAGTGACGTATTTAATAGACACCGTAGCGTTTTCCGCACGAGGGGGCAGTACCACGCGACGGTTAGACAAACGTGCCACGACGATCGCCGGATCAATATGCAGTAACTCTGCCACCGCTCGCTGAAACCGCACCAGGGATTCTGTGCTGGTTTCCAATTCCAAGGTCGTCGAAACTGCGGCTAAACGTGGGCGAACAACAAGTTGTAAAATAACGGCCAAGTCGCGGGTGTAATACGAACCGTTAATATTTGGGTCCACGCGAAGCACCAGCGGGAGACGACTGACATTCTTTAAAGGCACCCCCGACTCGCGCGGAACCGCAGTTGCCAACAAAGAAAAAAGCGTAGAGTCCCACACGTCGCCTTTGCTTTCGTTCCTCAAAAGAAAGTTAGCGCTGTAAAAGTGCACGCCGTCCACGGATGTGCAGAGCAGATACGAGGTGGACAAAAGCCCAAGACGTTCCTCTGTGGATGAAGACCCTTTCAGTAGCGGCGTTGCGCCAAGGCCGCCCGCTCTGCGGAGAGCCGCCGTGTTGATTAGCCAATCATCCCGCAGAATCCCACCATCACGTCCTCTACCGGTAAGATTGCTTCTGCCGTCAGCAGCAACAGTGCCTCCCGTCGTTGCAGCAGGATCCCAGAGACAACCTGTGCCCGTGTCTACAAGAAAAACTGGAAGCACCAGCGGATTAGAAGACTCCGAGTATTCTGCCCGAATCACGGACGTCAAGTTGGCTCCGTTACACACTTCCCCAAATATGTCTGTGCGAAGAACCGCAACCGCCAATGCCCCCACCGCCCTGGTCGCCTCACGGTCATTCCCAGTGCCAATGCCATTCCCAATAAAACACAAACTTGCATGGTGGTAATAACTCGGTGGCCGCTCTGCAAAAAAAGTGACTCGCACAGATGACGAGTCGGTGTCAGAAGGTGTAGAGAAATCAAGTTCCAAAAGGCGCTCAAGGCGCAGCGCGGTGGTCGTCAAACCACCGCGATTGTAGACTCCTTGCTCATTTTCCGTCGCGAGCCCAAGAATGGTGGGCGGAAGAACAATCAGTTGCAGAAAAGGCGGCGCATCCCCTGCCGGGTGGAAGCTGATGCCCCCATTAACGCTGTAGCATACATGGTAAAGAAGTGCGGGGTGGTGCCGGAGAAGAGCTCCATCGACTGCAAACGAATCGTAAACCCGCCGGTCACCCTCTTCCACAAGGTGGAAATTGTCCCATTGACGCCGCGGTCTCCCGAATTTCCCCGAAGATTACCGCACACAGCAGCGGAACCCTGCACATCCTTGTCTACTGGCACAAATGCAATGCGAATATCATCCGCAAACGGCACAACAGAACCACGTACGGTTAAGTCTAACTCACCGCCTTGAAAAACAGCCAACACGCCTTGACGCAAACCTGATAATTCCTTCACCGCAAGCAAAGAAGTCACTTCAATCCTCACAGGTGTGTCCACAAAAACAGAGGCCTTCCCAAATCGGTACGGCAAGAATTTCTTTACACAGAGTTTATAATTCCCATTGGGAACGTAACGTATAGAGGCTGGAAGCTGCAATGTTGTCGATGTTGGCGTGACACCTCTGCCCATCCATTCCCGCGGTTTCATAACAAAAGCATCCATCACGTAGGCTTGGTCAACCTCCGGCGAGTCACAGGACCTCACACTCCCATCAACAAAACGGACAATCATGCCAGCCTGAACGCCGCGTCCACACGGACTCGCAATGGGCAACAGCCATCCAGTGGACTGGCTATGCACTTGTTGAAGGGTTGTGGGGATCTCTCCGACGCACTGAAGCGAAATTGGTTCTAGAAGCATTCTTAATCCCGTTGGTACATCTCGCTGACGATGATTTATAAAGAAGAGTAACTCGCCTTCATTCGGCTCATCGCCTATTGTTAATGCTGGCAAATACAACTCACCAGCACTCACAAACCCCACACCTTGCAAGAAGCCGCACCAGAGCGCGTCTGTCGTGAATCCGTTCAAGTAGCGGTTTAACGGAGTGTCGCGGAAAGAAGACGAATCGGTGCTGTAACGTGTGTCTACAAGCCTTCCAAATTGACTCGTCTGCTCAAACATATAAATGGCACTGGAGAAAACCGACTGATTCTTCATCGCCTTTTCCGCCTCTTCTGCCCCCATGGAGAGCCGTACCCCGAGTGTTGGGGCCCACGAGACAGAGATGTAAGAAATACCAACGGACATGTAATGCCGACCGCCGTCCACGGAAAAACAGAGCGAAGAGGGTGACCATGGCTCCACTGTCTCATTCCTTTCGGTTTGTAAAGGCACCACAAAGATCACCGCATCGGATCCATCTTCTGTCCAAATGCGTACTTTGTTATTGGCAAACGTCGCGGTCAAATTCGAGAGTGAAGTCACCGTTGCCGCCTGCTCCTGTGGATCCAAAACGTTGCAAGGCCTTCCAAGACGAAACTTCGCCAAACGGAAAAATGCCAGTGCTCCTGGTACATTGAGCATGTTTATATACTGCTCCTCCACGCCATAAACATGGGCCGAGTCAAAGTCTTCAGTTGCTTCTTTACCCTTCATCCCTGGTTCGATGGTCACGACAAGCATCATAGACTCATTGCCACGGCAAAAAACAAGGTGACGGATGCCATTCTGCTCCGCCACATCACTCGGAATAGCTCGATGTAGTGAAACCGATGTCACAGCAACATCCAACACCTGGAAAAAGAAACCCGACGGACGAAATGCAAAAACATTTGTTGTCCCATCTCCATCGCTAACATTTCCGCCATCAACAATTTCATCCCCAGACATTTTAACACATATCTGCAGCCGTCCTTTTGTGGCAACCCGCGTGTGGGCTTCTGTCAAGGTGAGAGTATTTGCCACCATCACAACTATGATAGGAAGCCCTTCACGGCTCTTGTGGCATGCAGAAGAAAGCAACACCCGCGTCCCCACCGCAAATGCACCACTACTATCCGTCTGGTATTTCATGCTGTTGGGCTCATTGTAATCATTAGCATTCAACTCGGCGACACTCACTATGCCTTTGCTCATCCGCGGGACAACGAGCGTGCGACGGAAGGCAAGCTCAGAAATGTGTGACTCATCCGCAGGCAAATCACGTCGCAAACGTGACGGTAGGATCGTCAATGAAAGATTCGTTTTAACGTATGACGCACCTCCATTGGTCGAGAGGCACATTGGCGTCCGCGCCTCCAGGTGGGCGAAGTGCGTAGAAGGAAAGAGAAACACGCCGTGGTCATCCTCAAGAATGAGGGGTTCCTCGTACAGCAGGGTATTATTCAGTTCCTGTACCGCCGCCACGAGTTCTGTTCTACTACGATTCCCCTCTGAATCCAGTGCTAAAACATCTTCTTCACAGTGCGACCCAAAGCGCATCAAAAAACCACGTTGAATGCCGTAGCCATTCAAATAAAATATTCTGCTTGTGTCCTCCATGTAAAGAATCAAAGTTCTGTTGCCCTCCAAATCGGTGCGGTCATCAGAAATATCTGCATCACCCATCATGCCAAAAAAGGTCGCTGTCGTGTTGCTGGCATCATCTGGAAAATGACGGAACCCAACCGGAACAGCTGTCGTAAACTGCAATTGCAGAAGTGGATGAATGGACTCTCGCCAGCGTTCCGGTGCGGTCTCCAGACACAAAATCCAGGGCTGCGTGGCGTTAGGGTAAAAGCCCACGTTGCGGCTTACCGCACGTGGAATTGTAAGGATTCCATCATCAAGAACATATGGACCACGTACAACATCCAACTGAATGGCTTCAAAATCAGTAAAGCACGGATCGCTCCCGTCATCCATCGGCCGAACAAACATCACACGCCTCCAGTTCCCACATGGCACCACAGCAGCTGTATTCCCCTTTGCTCCACCACGGCACCACAGTGCAACTGCCACTTCACGTCCTGCAGCAGCCACAATGTTCGTTGTCTCCCTCTCGTTTGTAAGCCACTCGAGCGCAATTTTTGTTGGTGGCAATGCCGTGGCAGCGACAACACCCTCACTCCCGTCAGCATCAAAGTAAGAGTAACGCGTTGGATGCCGCACATGCTCGCGGACGTTCAACGCAATATCCGAGCTCATCCACGGCGTTGACCTATCGGGTTTAAAACATAGCATGTACTCCTGCACAGAGAGGCCTCGAATGAGGTCACGCTCAAGAACAATGTAGTGGGAGTCAGACCCTTTGTCGGCGTTCCCTTCTGGCCGAAACGGCGTAGCCAACGCTCCAAATAGTTTCAAGCCCTCAAACAAGTTTCTCACAATTACATCGTCCAAAAAGTCAGGCATTGGCGTGCTGCAGTTAGTGTCGATTGGCCGAAACCGCACAAGGGACATGTTGGAGAGACCCGATCCACCTATTGGCAGCGTCCACTCCTGCCCCTGCTCCACCGTGACGTAATCCGTGCGGTTCAGCGAGAAGACGGAATAGACAGGCCTCTCCAGCTCAATGCGCAGACCTTTGAGTTCAAAAAATTGCAGCGCCGCTTCGGTTCCCTCCTCAGACGACTGTCGCCCAGGGTGAATAGCGCTGGCGCAAAGTTTGAATGACCCCGTATTGTTCAAGAGTTTTGGCAAAATAATCGCATAGCCATTCACCGCCGTGATGAAACGATCAAAGCTATTGGTATTAATAAAGTACTTCTTGAGTTTTTTACACGGCACCACATCCTCCGCAAGAAACATAAAGAGTGGGTTGCCCATTGCGAACGTGTGATCAATAAGTGGCCCAACGAGTTGCAGACTCTCCCACATTCCGAGCGTCGGGTGTCGCGTCTTGCGTTTAATGTGTTTCTCCGTGCTGTTACCAAAAAGAAAGCCATCGACGCGTGGAATCACAAGGCGATATGGAATGCCTGTTGGCACAAAACCCCTCCTCCACGCATTGGCATCCTCCGTAGCAGCAGAATCAGAAGCAGAAGCATCAGACGCACGACCATCCACATCTGCATCCGCGTCTCGGTAACGCACACACCATTGGAATCGTCCAATGACATCGTCGGTTGGTTCAACCGCTCCAATACGTGCCGTATGTGCCTGCGTGAGCGACAGAAACCACGAAGACGTGGAAGTGAGAGGGCTCAAGTATCTCGAAGAAAACGAGGATTTTGATGAAGAGGCGCCGTATCTCATGGAGCCACCGTTGATGACCATTGACGGCACCGCTGAGGTGCGAACAGGACTGCGCCAAAGGAAACTTGTCGCATTGCTACAGTCCACCGCAGGGACGAACGCTGCCTCTCCCTCATGCAATCCAAATCCTTCCACAACAAGATCGACAAACGATGCGTACACAACCACCGTCGCTTCCCCTTCCTGTTGTAGGGGAGATGTGCCTATCGATCGAATCGATTTAACGTACGGCCGGCGTACAACAAACTTAAATCTAAGTGGATACACCGCGCGGCGCGTCCCTTGCGCGTAAAGGCAAAGAAAGAGCGGTTCCCGTGCCCTTCCAAATACACGGTCAGCCACCTCGGATGCGGTGTGTGTTTCATTTAGAGTAATAAAAAAGTCACCCACGGAAGCTGAACTGTGTGACGAATTTGACTGTCGGTAGTTCGGCGGCACATCATAAGGGCGCATAATGGTGAAGTTCATGCGGCTAATGCAATCGACGCATGCTCCTCTTGCCTCCCCATGCGTTTCTCCCTCATCAAATAAAGAAAGACAAGGCTTCTCAGAGAGGAAGAGCATCATGTCGTCACTCAAACCGTAGCCAAAAAGTGGGAGCACCAATTCTTTTACATTTTCAGACACCTCTACAACCGTTAGAGGGGTGTCCGTCGTCGCAATGGGAAAATGGACCGCGTAAGGTCCAATAAAATGCACCTCAATGGGGTAGACATCGACAGTAGCGCTGGTGGGGATGAATACACGGCGGTTGTTCTGAAAGGGCGGAGGGACCGACAGGCAGACACGCATGCGACGCGTAGTTTCTTCATTCAAAAACCCTGGTGGAATCACTACTACAGCTGCCCGCTGTTGTTGCTGTTCCGTCAATATCACGCCACTGACGTTTCGAGAGGAACGCAGATCATTATTGGTAGCGCTGTGTGGATTAAGAATACCAAAGGAGCGTTGACGATAAAAAAGTGATGTATTGGAACACTGAAACGTGGGATCTGCAATCCTCGCGTTTACTGGAGGAGAATGTGCAAACGCAATCTCCGCCATGCTGATCGTGCTAGGGGACCACATGTGCACGTCGAGACCCCACAGCCTTAGCAGGCCACTGAAACCTACGCCAATATTCAGTTGCGATGAATCAGCACTTCCGCTGCTCCCGTCTCCACTGTAGCCCTCATGTGTCGCGGTGACAGAGATACGAGCCCGCGACACAATGATCTTAAAACCGGCAAGCGGTACAAACCGCGAGAGTGGTGTATATGCAAAACACAGATGCCACGTCTGGCGTTTTTCAGTGAAATTTGTCCCCCACATGCCTGTGTGATTAAGATTAAGTTGCATAAACGCCACACGACTTTTTTCAGCAACGCTGCTTCCATTCAAAGCCCCCGATGAAAAAAACATCGTACTAACGGCAAGCATTGTGTCTAGTGCAGATGGCAGTGGGA